CATTTGTGTGGTTGGTGTTAATGTTAGATCTAAAAGGAGAAAGATGACATTTGGTATTTGTTATAAACTTTCAGAGATACTTGTTTTCCCAGACTTTTATTATGTACATTTTCAAACATACAGAATTTTAGAGAATAATACAGTAAACACCTGCCTATCTACCACTAGATTCAGTAATTATTAACATTTGCCATATTTGCTTTATCTACCTGTAACATTTTTTCTCAGCCATTTGAAAGTGGGTTGCTGATGTTGTGGCCATTTACACCTAAATGATTCCATATGCATCTCCTAAAAAGGATATTATACCTTAATCTAATATCTTCCATATTTAAATTTCATGTGTCCTCAGACTATCTTTTATGATTGTTTTTTTGTTCTGAACTGGGATCCGGTCAGGCTTATCACACTGTATTTGATTGTTATTTGTTCTCATTGTCTTTGGAACAGACTCTCACCTTTGACGTTGACTTTTTGTTTTAGTTTTCTGTAGAATGTCCCCCATTTTTGTGCGGTTGTTTCCATCTTCCCTCTGTTTTCTGTAAACTGGGAGGCTCTTACAGGCATGCTTAGGTTGAAGTTAAGCATATTTGGCAAGATTGCCTGAGATGCCTGAATAGTGATGCTGTGTGCTTCGTAGTCATCATCAGCCTGCTTGCTCCACTCTAAATTTAAAAATTTTTAAGCTTTATTTCACCACTCTTATCAAACATATCAGAAGGCATATCATCAGTGCATCTTATGGTGATCGACAACAAAACTGAACAAGGCTATTGTGTTTACAGAAAAATTTTTAGCAAAAGTGTATGTAGTGCAGTCCATTGAAATGCAGTGTTTATACTTCTTAGGTATACAAGAAAGCAGAAAATAAAAGTTCTCTGTTGTCCAGCAAGAAGAAAAAGTTTTTCTGAAAGACTTGAATGGAAATCAGAAATTTAGGCATTTGTGACAAGTATTTCTTGGTGTGGATTCACATTGATATTTAGAGTTCCACTTAGTTATTTTTTAAAATAAATAAACCTCACAAACAAGATAGCACAAGGAACAGAGAGCCCTAGTGCCAAAAATTGCCAGGACCAATATGCTATTAAAACAGCTGGTAGAAATGTTACAGATAGCCCTTCACTGTGTAATGTTCCTGTAGTTCTGAGATGAAGGCGAACCAACAGGAGAGAAAATTTTTTGTTTGTTTTGTTTTTTTGAGATGGAGCTTCACTCTTGTAGCCCAGGCTGGAGTGCAGTAGTGTGATGTCGGCTCACTGCAACCTCCACTTTCTGGGTTCAAGCAATTCTCCTGCCTCAGCCTCGTGAGTTGTTGAGATTACAGGTGCCTGCCACCATGCCCAGCTAATTTTTGTATTTTTGGTAGAGGCAGAGTTTCACTACGTTGGCCAGGCTGGTCTTGAATTCCTGACCTCAGGTGATTGATTCGCCTGCCTCAGCCTCCCAAAGTGCTGGGATTATAGGTGTGAGCCATCACGCCTGGCTGAGAATACGTTTCATAAATAGCTTTGGATTAAGTGATCTTTCACATTTTTTCTAACTATACCATCTTGTCAAAACATAATAATTACATATTACTTAGTAAAAATAGTAGTAGGTTTTAATATTCACAACCAACCACTCTAGTGCCGACATAGGAGGCTACAAACTGTTAAAATTTTTTGATCATAACTGGATAATCAAGATGCAACCCTTTTTGAGAAAAGAATTCCTTCTGCCTGAAATTTGATACTGTTAAGAGGATATAAAGGAAAGTTAAATCATTTAAGATTTTTCACAAAAGATTTAAGAATGAAAGAATAAATCCTGCTGAAAAAGATATGTCAGCCTTACCTTCTGCAAAGTAAATCTTCTGCAGAGGTACAGGTTGACTCTTTTTATTGTAATAAACACTGCTTAGTTCTATAAGGTGCTGTCACTGCAACTAATGCACACTAGTGCCACCCACTGTCCCTACTGTGCAAAGGGAAGGGTGGAGGTGTGTTCCAGTATTACTGATGCAAAGCTTCATCTCTTGGTTAACTGGTGGTTTCCAGATGCTTCCATGGTAGGATTCTATTTTTCCCTTTGTAGTTAGGAAGCAGTTTAAGAGGTGATACTTCTTCCAAATCCTTTCACCTAATGATCTTAGCATTTGTCTTAGTTTGCTGCTATAACAGTGCACTACAGATGGGGTGGCTTAAGCAACAGAAATGTGTTGTCACACAGTTGTGGAGGCTGGAAGTCCAAGATCCTGGTGTGGGGAGCTCCCTCCCAGGGCTGTGAGGGAAGGATCTGTTTCAGGCCTCTCTCCTTCACTTAAAGAAATTGCCTTCTCCCCATGCCTCTTCATGTTGTTTTCTGTTTGTGCATATCTGTGTCCAAATTTCCTCTCCCTACAAGGACAGCGATCACGTTGGATTAGCCAACCCTTGCCTCCCCCTGTGACCTCATTTTAACTTGGTTACCTCTGTAAAGACCCTACCTCCATGCCAACTCACATTCTGGGGCACTGGGGATTAGGATGTCAACTTTTGAATTTTGTGGGGATACAATTGTGATTCTTGCCTGAATATTTATTTATTGGGGTCTTTAGGTTTCTGGGAAACAGTTTCTGAGATGGAGATTAGTGGGCTGGCCTACCTAGTACTGTGCTTGCAAATATCTGTGGGGGAATAAGAAGCAGGAGTGGGCAGAGGGAGAAGCTGAACTGCAGTGCAGCTGCAACGGAGGCTCAGCCTATGTGTACAGGAAGCTGCAAAACTATGCAGTCCTTTGAGTTTTTTGTTTTGTTTTGTTTGTTTCTGTTTTAAGATGCGGTCTCGCTTTGTCACCTAGACTGGAATGCAGTGGTGTGGTCGCAGCTCACTGCAGCCTTGAAATCCTGGGCTCGAGAGATCCTCCTACCTCAGCCTCCCTGAGTAACTGAGACTACAGGCATGTGCTACCATACCCAGCTTTTTTTAAAAATCATTTTGTAGAGATGGTGTCTCTCCATTTTGCCCAGGTTGGCCTAGAACTCCTGAGCCCAAGAGATCCTCTCACCTCAACTTCCTGAAGTGCTGGGATTACAGGCATGAGTGACTGGGCCTGGCCTAGACTGCCCTTTGGAAATGTTCCAAATTGAGGCAAAAGGCCAGATTTTATATCCCTTTATCAACTAACCATTGAATGCATGCTGCTGCCAGGGAGAAGGCAAGCCTTGGGCTGTGCAGCTTTCCAGGCAGGACGGTGTTGGAGGAGAGACTCATGTGTGAGCTGTTAGGCACCAGCAATCCCAGTAGTTGGGGAATGAGTGCCTGGACCGACAGAGAGGGTTGGGGCAGTCAACAGCATCAGACACAATTGGAGATTGCAGAAGGGTGATTTCCCCCTCTAACCTGCATTTATTATTAGGTGGCACCCTTCTGAAAAGAAGATCTTTCCTTCGTCAACTAGGAATGAATTATAGTTCTCAAAAAGACAGGATAATTGCTTACTTTTTGCTTTTGTCTTTTTTTTTGTATTTTTGTCTTTTTTTTGGGACAGCATCTCACTCTGTCACCCAGGCTGGAGTTCATGATTACAAGTCACTGCAGCCTCTATCTCCTGGGCTCAAGTGATCCTTCCACTTCAGCTTCCCAAGTAGCTGGAACTACAGGCATGAACCACTACATCCAACTAATTTTAAAAAAATTTTTTGTAGAGCTGGTGTCTCACTGTGTTGCCCAAGCTGGTCACAAACTGGGGTTTAAGTGGTCCTCTCTTCTAGGTCTTCCAAAGTGCTAGAATTACAGGCATGACCCACTGTGCCTGGCTGTTTCTCTTTTCATTACCAATTTTCCAAGTCATGAGTGGTGTAATTCATTTGTACTCAGGGTCGCATTATGACTTTTGCCTTCATAGGCCCCTTCTCCATAAAAATATATTAAAAATCATTTTACAACTACCAGCCTGGCCAACATGGCAAAACCCCGTCTCTACTAAAAATACAAAAATTAGCTGAGTGTGGTGGTGCACGCCTGTAATCCTAGCTACTCAGGAGGCTGAGGCATGAGAATCACTTAAACCTGGGTGGCTGAGGTTGCATTGAGCTGAGATTGCACCACTGCACTCCAGCCTGGGTACCAGAGCGAGACCCTGTCTCAAAAAAAGGCAAACCATATTTTACAGCTGTATTGGTATAAAGACAACTATAATCAGGCTAGATTCATGAATTATGTATTTATTACTATATTCTTTTTCTCTTTTTGAAGAAAACATATTGTGGGATGTCAGTACTGTGCCTACTGTGTCTAATGGGTAGGTTAGCTCTGGTAAAGCCTTAGATTGGGGCCAGGCAGTTAATAAATGAAGAGGGTTGATTCAGAGTGCATGTACTACTGTATGGGGTGAACAGGGGAACAGGGGTGTCACGTGGAGCTGTCTCAGTGGAAGGGAGTTGCCATACAAGAAAGTGAGGTGGCCTGATGTTGCCAGATCTTTCCATGTTTCAGGAGAAGCCAAAAAAAGAGATTTTAAAATTTGAAACTCCCTATTTTTAACTGTTTAATTGTTGGATCTTTTTTAAAAAAAATCTATGGGTTGGTTGTGGCCTAGGGGCTGCCAGTTTGAGAAGTCGGTTAACAGCGAGCCCCCTGAGAGGGAGTACCCACTCCGATACTCCGCACCGTGGAGGAAACTGGCATATGGAAGGTGCTTATACATGCTTGAAAAGGAATGGATGAATAATTATATTTTAATAAGGCAACTCATTAAAATTAGGTTGGAATTTATGCATAAGAACCAAGTGAAGGTCAGAAATCCAGGCCCTGGAATATGCTGCAAAGAAAAAAAAAATGCCTGTCTTGGGTTATTCACAGCAACTTAAAGCGATTTGGCAAGAATAAAAATGTGTGAAGAAACCTCTTGAAACTGGAGTTTGTGAACTAGGTCAGGCTGCCTTAATGATGCAGTCCCTAATTAGAGAACTGAAGGGGGTTTCTTGGTATCTTGAAAGAATACTGTATTATTAAATTTTATCTTTTTTTTTTTTTCAGTTTAAGCCAGAAGCATTGTGAAAACAACAACCTTGAAAAGAATGTGTTCTGTAACTTTTTGGTTGGGGGAGCAGCAAGCACACCTCACTGCCAAACATTCTTCATGCTTGTCCTTGGCCTGTGGTTGCCAGACAGAGGAATATTTGGTCGGAATCCACTGGGTTCACACCAATCACCATGGTGCGGGAGGGTCTGAGTCAGAAAAAAGGACGAGAGGAGGATGAAGAAATCAGGACGGAGAGAAACAGCACCTCCCAAGAGGCTCTCCCAGACATTTCACTGTAACTTCCAGCTCTTTTGGCTCAGAAATAAAAGCAACAGTGATGCCCAGGGCTTCTCTCCATGGCATGTTCCCAGAGATGTCCCTCCAGAGCTCAGCACTCAGCCCTCTTGAGGGTCTGGTTATCGTAGTCTTTATGCTTCGTTGCTGCAAAGGTGCCTGCCACCTCTTCCCGTGAAACCTCGGATTCCTGGACTTCAACCAGCAGCTGTTTTTATTCCCTTAGAGAGATTGCTTATTTAAAAAAAAAAGATGATAATGACCCATAACTACTCAGTTTAGATGATGACAGCAGAAATTATTCTTTTTTCTCACTTCCCTGAAGTTGACCAGTTTGGGTACTGTTTTTAATTTTTATCTTCCTTCAGAGGGACCAACAAATTTTTTTTTTGGGGGGGGCGGGATGGAGTCTCACTCTGTCACCCAGGTTGGAGTGCAATGGTGCCATCTCAGCTCAGTGCAACCTCTGCCTCCTGGGTTCAAGCGATTCTCATGCCTCACCCTCCCAAGTACCTGAGATTACAGGCACGCACCATCACACCAGGCTAATTTTTGTATTTTTAGTAGATATGGGGTTTCACCATGTTTGCCAGGCTGGTCTTGAACTTCTGACCTCAAGTGAACCTCCCGCCTCAGCCTCCCAAAGTGCTGGGATTACAGGCGTGAGCCACTGTGCCAGGCCAGGGGACCAACACACTGTGCCAGGCCAGGGGACCAACAGTTTTGATATTAGTTTCTCATTTATAGGCAGCAAAATTAATGAGCATGGATATAGGTACCGCATTATAGAATGTATGCACATCTTCCTCTAATGCGCACACACACAACTTACTGCCCAAGATAAAAACTGAAATTCAGTGTGTCCATAATACAGCAAACTATTCACTTTGTTTTCAATTATCCCTAATTCTGATTTCAATAGTTGTGTAAAATGGAGAGAGACAGGTTGTGTTGGGAGTTATTCTGAATCAGAAACCATGAATGTTTGCTTTTCCCCATTTCACCTCTGAAAACCTGAGCAGTCTGAGGACCAGGTGAAAAAAAAAAGTCTCAGTTGAGGTCTGGGTCATCTTTTCCCCTAGAGCCTCTGCTTCCTAGTCACACAGCCTCAACCTTGCAATGGCTGCTTAGAAATAAGAATAATGGTGTTTGCAGTCATATTTATTGAAATGTTGTTATGTGCTAAATACCTTATACAGTGGTCCTTCAGCATCTGTAGGGGGTTGGTTCCAGGAAGCCCCCATGGACACTAGAATCCACAGATGCTCGAGTCCCTTATATGAAATGGCATAGTATTTGCACATCCTCCCGTATACTTTAAATCATCTCTAGATTACTTATACTACCCAAAACAATGTAAATGCTATGTAAATAGTTGTTATAGTGTATTGTTTAGGGGATGATGACATGAAAAAAAGGCCTGCACGTATTTAGTTCAGACATAACCATCCATTTTGCTTCCTCAAATTTTTTTTTTTTTTTTTTTTTGAGACTGAGTCTCTCCCTATTGCTCAGGCTGGAGGGCAGTGGCGCGATCTTGACTCACTGCACCTTCTACCTCTCGGGTTCAAGTGATTCTCTTGCTTCAGCCTCCAGAATAGTTGGGATTATAGGTTGTGCCACTATGCCTGGCTACTTTTTGTAATTTTAGTAGAGACAGGGTTTCGCCATGTTGGCCAGGCTGGTCTGGAACTTCTGACCTCAAGTGATCTGCCCACCTTGGCCTCCCAAAGTGGTGGGATTCCAGATATGAGCCACCATGCCCAGCCTTCTTCCTCAAATATTTTCAATCCACAATTGAATCCATAGATTTGGAACCCATGGATAAGGAGGGCTGACTGTATGTATTTTCACTCAAGTCCCCCAACAACACTTTGATGTAGTCTTTTGTTTGTTCATTTACGCATAAGAGAACTGGGACTAAGAGAGAATAAGTTGGTATCACCCCAACATTCAGCTAGGAAATGGCAAAGGGGCAGTTCCAGATTCCCTGTGAGCTCCCTCCCTTCTGTGTATAAGGAGCTGACATCGTCCATGAGCTCTTTCAGGGAGTTTTGATTCTCATGCCTAGTAAATGATCTCCCCATACGCGGAAGAGAAGCTTTGTGTTATTTGAGGAAAAGGAAGAGGCTTCGAAGAAGAAAGGAAGAAGGCACGGCGGGGGAATCAGGGAAAGCTCTCAGGCTGAACTAGTTTATGCTATTGAATAGTTTTTTTCTCAAGGGATTGCTTTGATATCATTGTACTGAGCAAATATTACCAGATTAAAAAAATGATAACTTGGACCTTTTTTTGGTAAAATATGAAGCAGTTGGCAGCTCCAACCATAGCTCTTGCTATGCTTGTGTGGCCATGCATGCTAGTTGCCAAACATTTTCAGAAGTGGACTGGAAGGAGAACAGCCTTAATCTTTGGCCTTTTTAAAAAAATGAAACAAAACACTCTTCTCCTCCCTTCCCCAAAAACAAAGTGATTAAACCATTCAGCTTAAAAAAGATTCAGTTTAGTCACTTTGGTTTACATGCTGTTGGTCAAGAGCTAGGCTGTCAGCATCATCCTGTGACAACTGAGAGTTCCTAACTTTCTGGTCATCAGGTTTTTCCTCTTATCAATGCATTTCTTTTCCTTCATGATACCTCATCTTGCCACACCAAGGCGTGAAGTTATAAGCCAGAGTTATGACCCCTATCAGTAGAAGGTTCTAGAATATTTGTATGTATTTTAAAGCTCCTCAGATAATTCGGATACAGGTAGCCTTGCGCCAGAATCATGTATGGGACACCCTTGTTTTTCCTCAATGAGAAAATTGAGGCCCAGAGTGATAAGAAACTTGTCAAGGGCCTAATCTAGACTTTGGATGCTGAAAATAACCCAGATAGAAGCCGGAGGAAGCACATCGGTTCAGCACAGGCTGGCCTTCCAGGGCACAGAGCAGCATGAGAAGGGAGGGGGTGTGTCTGCCAGGGATGCATGGCGAATACTCAGCCCAAGCTCTTCCATTTCTGCTCACTATCATCCATTGTCCACAGCCTTTCAAAAACGGGATTTCACCATGTTGGTCAGGCCAGTCTTGAACTCATAACCTCGGGTGATCCGTCCGCCTTGGTCTCCAAAGCGCTTGGATTACAGGCGTGAGCCACTGTGTCCAGCCTGTCCACAGCCTTTCAGATCTGTCATTCTAAATCCAATCACATGAATTATTATTTTTTTTCCAGATGGAATCTTGTTCTGTCACCCAGGCTGCAGTGCAGTGGCATGATCTTGGTTCACTGCAACCTCCCTCTCTCAGGTTTAAGTGATTCTCGTTCCTCAACCTCCCGAGTAGCTAGAATTGCAGGCATGTGCCGCCAACACACACAGAAAATTTTTGCATTTTTAGTAGAGACAGGGTTTTATCATATTGGACAGGCTGTTCTTGAACTCTTGACCTCAAGTGATCTGCCTGCCTCAACCTCCCAAAGTGCTGAGATAACCTCTCACGTGCTGTGAACCACTGCACTTGGCCTCACATGGAATTCTTTACGGTATCTATTGTTCTCAAGATCAGTTCTATGTTTCTAGCATTATATACAGGTTGAGCATACCTTATCCAAACTGCTTGGGTTCAGAAGTGTTTGAGGTTTCATATACTTTTTTCAGATTTTGGAATATTTGCTATATACTTACTGGTTGAACCTCCCTAATTCAAAATCTGAAATCCAAAATGCTCCAGTGAGTATTTTCTTTGAGCATCATGTGGATGCTCAGAAAATTTCAAATTCTAGAGCATTTCATATTTTCAGATTAGAGATGCTCAACCTGTATGAGTCCCTTCCAGACCTGGCTCCCTGCCTGTTTTACTCCCTTCATTTTACCCCCACAGCCCCCCACCCCAGAGCCAAACTAAACCACTTGCCCCTGCTTGAACACACACAGCCTTCACACCTCCATGCCTTGCACAGCCGTCCCTCCTTCGTGAGCTCATGCTTCAGGTGCTCCTGTAGTACCTCGGTCTCTCCTTCAGAGTCTGTGTCACCCAGTAATGATTTGTTCAGTGTTTATCTAGAGGCTGCCCATGAGTAAAGACCCTGTCTTGTCTGAACCTGGATAAGAGCAGTTTTGATTGGGGACCGTGATGAGGGGAGAAAGACCAAAACCTGATTGAGTGGGTTTAGGAGAAAATGGAAAGAGAACTGCAACCAGCGATTAGAAATAATAGTAAGTTTCACTGTAAAGGGGAGCGGGGAAAGGGAACAGGATCCAGATGGGGAAGTGGGGTTAAGAGAGGTTTTTAAATTTTACTTTTTAAACATGAAAGAAATAACAGCATGGCGGCAGGCTGTGGGAATAATGTAAGTATGTGGGGTGGTATTAATGATTCAGATGGGAATTTCTGAGTAATAGATGAGTAGGATGATTGGATGTGATGCACAAGGGAAGGGCCAGACAGAGTGTGGCTTGGCCACATTGAGTCATGTAGAAGTGATAGAGTATCCCGGCTCAGATGCTGGCTGGTAGGTAGAGGTGGTGGAGCCTGGGGAAATTATGATATCCTTATTGAAATCAGAAGCAAAGTTACCAGGTGACGGGGGAGGGAGGTGTCAGGGGCGAGGTGAACAGAGCAAGTATTAATGAGGTCAATATCTAGGAGAGAGGGACCGAATATGGACCAGGGAAATGTAATATGGTTGCTGGGTAATATTAAAGCCCAAGTGAGGTTAATGGTCATGATTTTAAAGTGAGACCAGTCAACATGGTTGAGTACTTACCTTTGGTTGAGTTAGGTGCACAGATGCCTGCTGAGAATATGTGAAAAGACAGACACAATCCCTACCCTCCTGGAGATTATGTTTCAGTAAGGGAAGATAGCATTGGAGCAGTAATTCTTCATCTAATAACAATGTAATGGTTGCCATATTGGTCAACACAGAGGGCGACAGAGCATCTAACAGGGGTGCCTGCCTGAAGTGAGCTATGTGAATGATCCAGAATCTTGCCTTCTTTTTTGTTTGAATTACAAATTGTGTGGTGCAATAGCAGAGTAGTAACAACATATGCTATAATTTTGTGTTTCTTAGTAATCTGCTATGACTTTCATGCTTATTGCTATATAAGCTGTAAATCAGCCAGGAGACATAGCAGTCGCCCAGTATGTTAGAACCCTGTAAATGGACCTAACCCAAGGCAGGAAGGACACTTGAGGAAAATAGGCAGTACCTATAAAAGGCATGAAATATATCCTCTCTCTCTCTCCTGTCCTATCTGCTTGTCATTTAATCTTCCTAGATGTGGGCAGTTCCTTAAAGATTCATGCTGTGGGATGAGAGAGAACATCTCTTTCTGCAGCCCATGTGCCGCACAATAGTCGCTGGCTTAGTGGAAGGAGGGAGGTGGCAGAGAGGAGCTGCTAGTTATTTTAAGTATAATAGAATTTAGAAGGTTTTAATAGTAAGAATAAATGCTTTGCTTCTCAGCTTGCAGTCTCCAATACTCTTGAAAGTGTTCTGATTTTGAAAGAATTGTTGAAATAGTACCTACATGGAAATTGCCTCTGAATCTTGAACCTTGTACACCCAGACTTTTCAAGGGAAGATGTAAGATTTAACCGAGGTTCTTTGTGGTGTTATTCCATGAGATAAGTAGCCAAAGAAGTCTTTGCACTGTCACTGACTTTGCACTTTATCACCTTTATCAGACACATACACACACACACGTGCGTGCAGGTGTGCACTCATTCTCTCTCTGTCTCTCTGATCTGGCTGGTCAGAGAAACACTCAGGGACTCTGGGCGAGCAGCATTAGCATCTGCTGCAAGCTCATTAGAAACACAAGTTGATTGGTCCCTCCCCAGACCTATTGAATCAGAATCTCTTGGGCTGAGGTCCAGAATTTGCACTTTACTAAGATCCCGTGGGGATGTGTAGGGCACATGAAAATGTGAGGATCAGTAATGCTATTGATCTCATACCATAGTCCTTTGTTTCCAGCTTTTTCTTGAAATGATATCAGAAATAAATTATTCCTGCTCCTACAGCTCCCCATGGAACTAGAGAAGTGTGAAGAAGCAAGGACAGGTGCAGTCAAACCCAGAGAATGAACAGACTTGGTTTCAAGAAGAGCTTTCCTGAGGATTTAGAGAGATTCTCTACCTTGGCACTATTGACATGTTTGACATTTAGGGCTGGATTTTTTTTTTTTTTTTTTTTTTTGAGACAAGGTCTGTCTCTGTCACCCAGACTGGAGTACAGAGGTAAGATCTTGGCTCACTGCAGCTTCCACTTCCTGGGCTAAAATGAGCTTCCTCCCTGAGCCCCTACAAGTAGCTGGAACTACAGGCATGTGGCACCACACTTGGCTAATTTTTTGTAGAGACAGCGTTTTGCTTTGTTGTCCAGTTGGTCTTGAACTCCTGAGCTCAAGTGATCCACCGACCTTGGCCTTCCAAAGTGCTAGGGTTACAGGCGTGATTTGCTGCACCGTCGTGGATATCCTGTGCGTTGGCAGCTTCCATGCGTTGTAGGATGCTGAGCAGCATACCTGGCTTCCACCCACTAGATGCCAGTAGCACCCTTCAAGTTTTGGGTTATAACACCCAATAATGTCTCAAAACATTGCCAAATGTAGGGGGTCAGAGTGGAGAGGGGAGGCAAAATCTCTACTTCCCCTTCGGAACCACAAGTTTATAGTGCTGAAAAGCATGGATGTCTTCAGAGTGGGTTATCAGGGAGGGGATCTTTTCAGAAACAAAGCATGGCATTCATGCATGGGGCAATAATATGTGTCTGTGCCTACTGCTTGCCAGGCACAGCTCCAGTTTTGCATGCAGTATCTCTTTTAATCTTTAATCTTTACAACAAACCCATGGGACAGACACTGCTTTCTCCATTTTATGCATGAAGAAACCAAGCTATAGAGCAATTGTCACACTGATAAGTGATTTAACAGGGATTCAATCCCAGGGCCATTTTAGCCATTATTCTCTCTCTCTTTCTCTCTCTCTGTCTCTTGTTCTCTCTTCCCCTCCATCAGTGGGGCTGTGGGCGTTTCCCTATCTATCTTCAGAACCTGGGAAGAACTAGCGAGGAGAAACAGTCACTAATTGGCCAGAGCCCAGAACTGACTTTCAAAACACTTGAGCTGACTGGAGAAGCAGACATCAAAGCACAGTGCCTTCTTCCATGTTCCCCCTTCTCACCCCAGGGGTCACCCTCTCCCCAGAAGCCTTCACCTCTTTTGGCTTCCCCTCTTCTCCTCAGTTCCCTGGGGGAAAGCAGCCCACTACTGCACATCCCGAGCCCCAGCCAGCACCCAGATATCAAAGACTCTGCAGCTGAGAGCCTAGCGGGCAGCTCTCACCATCAAAGGGAGCAGTGGGGAGGTGGGGGGTGGTGTAGAGTGTGAACAGGACTCTGAGTTCACATGAAAGGATGACCTTGTCTCCTGGTGCGAGGGTCACTTTGCATTTACTGAGGCCCCATGGAGAGTCAGCATCTGGTGGTAGGTTGCAGGGAGAGCAGTGCTCTCTGGATCTCATCTCTCTGTTTATAAATTGAGAGGGTGGGGCCACATGGTATCTAAGAGAGGGTGTACCTTATGAGGCAGGAATTTCTCAGCCCTGGTTTTGCATCAGAATCATCTGCCGAGAGAGATGCCTGCTGTGTGGCCCCCATCTCTGATGCAGTTGAACATTTAAGATCTCAGGAGACCTCAGTGCACAGCCAGGGTGGAGAACTGCTGCACTTGCCTGAAAGAGCTTGGGGTTGGACTGATCTGGTGTTGGAGTTCTGGCTTTATCACTTGGAGGTCCCAAGGCATTTATGGAGTGTCTCTGGGCCTCAGTTTTGCAAACAGGTAAAATGGAAATTATGATATCTACCTCATAGGAGTAAACAGGAGAAGTAGGTACATTGGTAAAGTGACAGCCCAGGGCAGGCCATCAGTGAGTCTCTACTCCCTTCTTTCTGATAGGCAGGGATGTTCCTCACCTGTTGATGGACACTTGGATGATTTCTATCTTTTGGCTATTGTGATAATACTGCTATGAACATGGATGTATAAGTATATGTTTGAATCCTGTCACTGCTCTCAATTCTTTTGGGTAAACACCTAGAAGTGGAATGCTGGAGCATATGGTAAGTTTACATTTTACGTTCCCTTCCATCCATCAGGTCCTCTTTTCCAGCCTTGGGCCTTTGCATCTGTGAGTCCCTCTGCCTGATCTTGCCTCCTCTGAACCTCGCTCAGCTGACTTCTCCTTGTAAGTGTTAGCCTAAATTCTTGCTGCCTCTGCAAAGCTTTCTCTGGTCCCCCAAACTAAATTATCTACTTTTTAATCTCTCTTTTATTAGTCTGTTTATTGCTCTGCAGCACTTTCCATACTTTATCATTATATAGCAAGTAACGTACTTTTCAAACTCCTGTTAAACTCCCAGTTCTGAGCTCACTGACTGGCACATAATAGGAGCTCTAAGAAACTGTCTCATTAAGTCTCTTAGCTCTCCTGGCACTCATGTTTATGACAAGCCGAGGCTGAACGGGATGCAGAATGATGGTGTGGATACTATAGGCAAGGGGTAACTTGCAAGCTGGTAAGGGCAGAAAGGAAAAACCAGAGTTTTGACTTTCAGTTTGTGTTTTGAGCTGGCTAAAAGGACATGATTTATTCAAGTTCCTCCTGCAAGGATGAACTCTGCTTCCAGGGCACGGGCAGTCAGCAGGAGCATTTAGAATGTGGGCTCTTCCTGCCTTAGATTATATCCTGGCTCTATCACTGTCTAGTTTTCTTCATCTATAAGGTGGAGACCATAATGGTACATACCCGCTATACTTGTGGTGAGAATTCAATGAGTTACTGTGCTTACAGATGGCCTGGCACATCGAAAGCTCTCAGTCAATGGTAGCTCTTATTATTTATTAACGTTCACTCTGACGCTCTAGAGATATAGATTGTAAGTGAAGGTTAGAGAGCTCTGCCAAGTGCTTCCTTCTGTCGGCACTCAAGGATGGCTCTGGAAGGGTGCTGTCCATCTCTTTCTCTGATCAGGTCTGGAACTTAGGGAGTTTTACTTTTTGCTTTTTAGCATCTCTCTGTTGTGTGGTCAGGAGGGGGTCACTACAATCATTATGAAAACAGTGTACCAAACGGGGAAATCAGGACAGATAGGAGGTGTGCCTTCCACACAGAAGCCAAAAGAGCTTTGGGTCTCTGCCTCTTCCCATCCCTGGTTGC